CTTTTTAAATCTTTTTTGTTTATGTGTATTGCATAATTTGATAAAATACGGAAAAACTGGAATATTTTTGAAGCGGTCAAGATAAAAAATAATATCAGGTTACAGCAGTCTCAGATTACTGTATTTCCACATAGTTTAAATAACAAGAGAGCACATACAGTATTTAAGTTTCATTACAACAACATTATTATAACATTTTTAACCGTGCAACTATATGTATACAGTTATAATGTACATCCACATATTTATATAACTATATTGTAATATATTATGTTTATACATCTATATAGATACATAAATATCGGGATGCTGAATTATCGCAAATTCCATAGGTGCGAACTGGGTAAAGTGCAAAGCTTTGCATTTTACCCAGTTTGACGTATGTGAGAATTGACAAAAGTGCGCCGAAAAATTTTCAAACATTAGCGTAAGTGCGAACTGGCATACCTGTAAACTCGAAGCGGCTGCATTAATTGGAATAAGTGCGAATCGGCATAAGTGCGAACTGACATAATTGCGCCAAATAAAGTTGCAAACATTTACCATAAGTGCAAATTGGTGTTTCGCAATTATGGCAGCTTGCACTTATGTTTGATTTGCACTTATGCCTGTTCACACTTATAAGATTGTTTGCAAACTCTTTTGGCGCACTTATACTTTTATTCCAAGTCGCGCTTGTGCTCGTTTAGAACTGCAATGCACTTATGTCAGTTTGCCATTTTGCACCGACGTCATTCATACTTTTTGTATGAATGGCGTAGAAACAAATTATATTACAGTCCGACTTTTTTATATGTACATACTCACTCATTTGTATATACGTATTTATGTAGACACATTTTTATATGTACAAAATAACTTTTGACAGTATTATCGATTGCTTTTATCAATTAAGGCTTTTATCAACTAAAGGCAACAACAATAATAACTTTACCAAAGACATTAATTTCAAAAAGTTTATCTGCATGATGAATTAGTTTGCGACATGCATTTCCTACAAAAACCTCACCCTAGACAAAACACGAGTTAAAAAATTTTGATGTCAATCAGTAAAAACTGCTTCTAATTTATTTATCAAAATCTCACCTGTTAATTTTTTAAAACAGTTTCAACTGTTTAAAACAGTTTCAACTATTTTAAAACAGTTTCAACTGTTTAAAACAGTTTCAACTATTTTAAAACAGTTTCAACTGTTTAAAACAGTTTCAACTTCAAAGCATAGTTTTTTCTCTCCTAAAAGTGGCAAGAAGTTCCCTTTGAGAAAACATTATTGACAAAACTTTGTAATTCTGGAAGAAAGCATTTAGCTATAACCAAAGTACAATCTGGTTCATTAAAAAGTGTAAGGTTCACTGTGCTCATGGAATTCAGGGTATCTCTTTTTTTTATTCCTCCGAATAGCTAGTAGCTAATAAGATTTATTTAAAATATATATTTAATTAATATTAAATGGATGATAATACATTGATAACGAAAATAAATTTCAAATGTGATCTTGTTTAATTTTACCTGTTGTACCATTTTCTCAGATCATCATTTGTTCATAAAACTCTATCGTATCTATTGTTCAAAGAAGAAACATCTAAGTTGCAGTTTACATCACATATATTCTCTTCCTCCTGTGTATTCAATACTCGGAGTCATCGTAATTTGACATTGCAATATGGACAAGGATGTTGAAGTGACTGTTGGCAGACCATTTACTACAAAATTAATTTAAAATTAGTTTCAAAAACAAAAGGAATCCTATCTAGCCTTATTAGGTTAAACTGCAGTTTCATGTTTTTATAGGGCTCTTTAATTTGAGGTACTATATTAAAAATTATCAATCTGTGAACACCTGTTAAATTTCTTTTTTTGCTAGCTATACCCCCTTCAGAATACAAGGATCTTTTTTTGTGGTAAGGCTCAGTTATTCCAACCTTTTGAGCTCCTCAGTTTCCTTATTTAATTCACAACTTTGCTCTGGGTGACAACTTTCTGGTAAAATTGTTGCACAAATTTTTAGAAAGCCGTGGCCTCCATCAGTCATTACCTAAATTAAACAGATTTATTTTTGAAAATTATATTTCAAATTAAATTAAAATATAAATATGAAACACAATGATACCTTAATGTATACTTTTTCATTAATTTCTTTAGCTCCACAGTATCTTCTAAATTTGCCCAACAATAGTTCTTTTTTCCATCTTCTTAGATTTCTGTTAAATATCAAACATATCTTCTGTAATCTGATATAAACTATTTAAAGATTTAGATTTTTCTGATGCCTGGTCTCTGTTATAGGCAGGAACATCCTTTTTAACTATATTGGATCTAATAAAATTAGTAAATTTCTCCATGACATTTGAAGATACTTCAGTGTTTACCTGATAGTTATCAAAATTTCGCGTGTAAAGTTTTTCGGAAATACCAGGTTATAAAACAATTTGGGATTTGTATCTGCCCCTTGAATAAAGTTCCGAGAAGATATTTTTTTATTTGAATCTTTTTGAATTTTTGCTTTAATTTTCAGTAATGAAGTTATTAACTAGTCTTTTTTTTCCGGTAAGGTTTTGTTTAAGATCTTTTCGATATTTTTTTGCTTGATTTTGTTTGCTTGCTTTAATGAGACAGTCTCTCCAACCTATAATTTTCAATAAGAACAAATGATTATTGAATGTGTATTAACTCTCTCTCTCTCTCTCTCTCTCTCTCTCTCTCTCTCTCTCTCTCTATATATATATATATATATATATATATATATATATATATATATATATATATATATATATATATATACATATATATATATATATATATATATATATATATATATATATATATATATATATATATATATATATATATATATATATATATATATATATATATATATATATATATATATATGAAGTGCCTTAGATGATTGCTCACTAACACAATCAAGCCCAGTGTTTTAAATTCGATGAACTTTTTGATGTGGTGGAAAACAACGGAAGCTTTTGGAGTCACTGTGATAGGCAGAGTCATGTTGCGTTTTTGAAATGTACTGATGTGAACCTCAAGATCTGGTGACAGATTGTTTCCAAAGAAATAGTGAACAACATATCAAAATTGTTTGAAAGTTAAAACATATCAAAATTGCTTGAAACAAATATTATGGTGGGAGCAACTTGATGTTAAGTCACAAGCTCACTCAAAAGATCTGTATTGTTAAGAAGCTTTATGCAGTCATTTTTAGCAAATTCTCCTCTGTGTTAAAATTGAATATTCAAATGCAACTATAAAGGCCATACACTGACATTTTCCCAGATTCTTAGAAAACCTTTGTAAAGATGATTCACCACTCCAAATTGAAGTTCCAACATAAATAAGTTTTAAAATCCAAGCACTGCTTTGCCTGCAGTTTGCTTCTTCTTGAATATGAATTGTAGAGCTGGAATTGAGTTCATATTGATTCGATAGTTCTTGGTTTTCTTTTTGACTGCAAATTGTCTGAGGTGATGTTACACCAGCAGCAGGGGTGTAAACTGGAGTGAGATTAGATTCAAAATAAGGTTTTAACAACTTTCATGTCATAAGCAATGAATAATGGTATGCTAACAATCCCCAATAGAGACAAGAATGATTTAAGATTCTCATAGTTTTCTGAAAAATATTTTTTTGATATGGCTACAGTAAGTTGTTGCTTGACACCAGAATCCAGAAATGGGAACCATTGAAGGTTGTTGTCTTTCGATATGCAGTTTGTGTGTGGTATCTTAATGTGTCAATGATGCTCAAACTTAACTTCAAGTAGTTTCCCCCACCATCAATTCCAGTTTTGGCGGTGCCGCTTGATTTGGAAATTCTCTTTCTTTAGACATCAAGGTAATAAAGTCAGAAAGACTGATGCAATGCGCAATCTTGGTTGTGGAGATGTTTTTTTTTGAAGCATCATAAATAGTTGATGTAGTGAAGAAGAGCTCCTACTTCTTTCTGAGACTGGAAACACCCCTGAAGTTTGATTCCATCACCTTGCTCTAAATGACTTGTTGAGAGTTAATGCGAGTCCTTTAATTTTGTTATTGGAAAGACCAGTGTTGATTTGAATCTTGACCATGTTGGTTTTTTTAAAAATTTTAAATTTTAAACTTTTTGTGCACTGATGAGGAAACTCTTTTTTAGGCGTTGTGAAGTAAAGAGAGCATAGTTTTTTTGAGCCTGGAAAGAGCTATGTGGTTTACTGTTTGGTGCATATGATGCAACAGGAGGAGCCCAATTGTGTTTTGATTTGCCAACTTGACAAATAAAGCATAGGCATTTAGAGGACTTTCTCGTAATCTTGATGCTTTAAAAGTTGTTTAGTCTAGGGTTCTGTTAGAGTTGCATATTTCTAATGGAATCTTGGCATTAATGAAGTCAGTCTTTTGTTTGAACAGGGCCTTGATTCTTTCGTTCATGATTTCTGTAATTTCTCTACCACATATTTTAAACATATATATATATATATATATTGATTGTGATTTAACTTCTCTAAGTTTTATAATAAAAATTCATAAGAACTTCTAGTTTAAATTGATTTAGTAAAAGCTAGAAACTTTTTCAAAAAGGTGATCAAATGTTTATATTAATCTACAATAGGACAATTAGATAATGCAGTAAAATTTTGATGTATTGAGGTTTTGAAATGTATAAAATTCATTAATTTTGGAAAAGTTTTAACAGTTTAAAACTTTAAATTTCCAAATATTAAAATTTGATGTTTGGACCATTTAATGGTCCAAAGGTGTTATTAAAATGATTGAAAACAATAATAAATCTCATGAACACAGATTTTATGATATTTTGAATGATCACTTTCTCATTCAGCACGTTTATTTTCTACCTTTTCAATTATCGAGCAATGAATGTCTTATAAGACATTCATTGTTCAATAATTGAAGAAAAAGTAAAGAGTGTTATAACACTCTTTACTTTACTATTAAATTATTTACAACACAAGAGAATAGATTATTCCAAATTGAGTTACATCCAGTTCTAGGAAATATTGAAAAAACTTTCTCAGTTCAGAATTGCAAAATTTTATTCTATCAGAAAGGTTTTATAATTGAGAAAATAATTGTACGAGATAGTAGGAAAGCGAATTTTGATTCAATTAATAGGATGTTTTCCAATGTGGATTGGTTAACGTGTTTTAAAAAGTTAACAAATTTATATTTTACATGAATGTAAAATATAATAAATAAATAAATTTATGTTTTACATGAATGCGGCGTATAAACTATCCATTTCAACTAAAAAATTAGATATTAGTAAAAAAAAGGAAATATTTTGTATAAAAATGATCTTTAAAAATTATTAAAATTAAAAAAGACCATTAGATTTCGCAACTGTTCCGCAGGAAAAGTTTAATCTCTTGTGAATGAATACAAAAAATGTGCAAGATAGTCAAAAACGAATCCAGAAAAGCTATACAAAATTATGAAAAAAACCCTAGTGATATTGGTTAAAGAAAATCTAAAGTTAATTTACAAATACGTTAACAGCCATTAACAGATCAATAACTCGGTTAAAATATTCGTAATGAAAATAAATTAGTGACAAATGACCTAAATCAGACAGTAAATTTACTAAAAAACAAGTTCCAAGATGTATTTGTCTGAGAGAATGACTTTATCTTGCCAGTATTTGCGTCTAGATTCAATAAAAAATTAGATTTTGATATAATCTCATACAAAGATATTCTTAATAAATAAGAATATTAAATAAATAAAAGTTGGAGCAGATCTTATTAAACCTTTAATTTTAAAAAATGGACTAGCTCTACCGCTTGCACATATATTTAAAGCTTCCATTGTGCTCACCCAGCGGGCAAGCGGACGTCCATAAGACGTCCATGGACGTCCAAAATTGGACGAACGGACGTCCATTTTGGACGTCTTTAAGACGTCCTATGGACGACTTAATAAAAAAGCATTCGTTCGTCCATTTTTCACGTCTATAGACGTCCATGGACGTCTAAAATATTTTTCAAAATATGTCTTACTAGATGTTCTATATAGATATTCTAATTAGATATATCTGTGTGTCTAGATAGAACTACATCTATGACAGATATATCTATGTTTATCATATATATCATTTTAAAAATTCTGATCAGAATTTCAAAGCTAATAAAAAAAGGTGTGCTAAACTTAAAACAACTGAAATATGTTAAAAACATTTACTTTCAAAAATAATAAATATACAAAGCAACAATTTTATGTTGCTTTCTCTTCGTGACCATCAATATCGTTAACTATTTTTACTTTCGGCAACGCCCGCTCCAATAAATCGCCAACAAGGGCTTCAATAGTTGCGGCATCATAATCGGTTCTTTCGGATACTAAGCCTTCTAAACAAACAAAAAAATAAATTGCAATTGTTTTTCTTCTGAACAAAGAAATGGTTTTTATATAAACAATTTAAAAACTTATAATACTTTTATATATATGTAAATATGAAATAAACTTTTTTTTAATTCAACTTAGGAAAGCACAATACAATCATTCCCTAACCTTTAATACACTTGTAATGTTGCTTAGTTAAACTTAAGCTTGCCTTTTAATCCATCTTTACTAAATAAGTTTTGGACTTGTGGCACTATTAACTGGTATAAAAACATTTTTGACAGTTTTGCGTAATGTTGCACCACCAATGGATTTGATTTGAGTGATCTGAAAAAATGTTAAATCGTTAAATCTAATAAGGTCTAAAATTTAATAACGTAAAACTTAAATTTTATTTTGCAACATAACATTTTCACAAACACAATATTTTAACTTGAATCATTAGCAGGAACATAACAGATTCCTGTGTCATTAGAGTTGACCACAAATAACATACAACAACGTTGTATGTTATTTGTGGTCAACTGTTTTTATCACCTGTTTTAATAGTATATAGAATACACTCCTGGAAAGTTTAATATCTATACCTTGTTTTTCACAGCACTAGAACTTGTTCTGAGAATTTCCTCTTCTTCATTAAAATACCTAAGATCTCTGTGTGGGATTGTAATTATGGAACCCACATCAGTAGCACTACTTTTTGGCTTTGTTTCTATGTTGTCCAATCGCTTCATAATTCTAAGTTGATTTTGCTCCAGCAAATCTAGCTTCATTAGCATGACATACTGAAACTCTAAATATAAATTCTTCATTTGTATTAAAGCAAACAGGAAAAAAAAATTTTAAAACTAGAGATAAAATTAGCTTTTAAAACTAAAGAAAGATTATTTGATCAGAAAAATAAAGATCATCACAAACCTTAATTTCATGCAAAAACTTACGTTTATTTGTCATTTTCTTAAATGAAACACCGCCATCACCTATCTTAAAAGATGTTGGATTTTTGTTAAAGTGGTTCGATTCTAAATCCAATGATTGTTGGAAATCTTCATTCGATCTTGGCTGTATTACACTTTACCTTTTTTCCAAGGAGATATAAGTGGTACATTTAATTGAATTGGTGATAAAGAACCAAATGTTATGCACTTTAAAGCATGCAAATTTGGGTTGAGCATATTTGAAACTATAAAATCAAAAAAAAATGGGATGAAAAATAAAACAATCCTAAATACACCAATTGAATACCCAACTTATTAGAGCAGTATACACATTATCATAAATTGTGTTGGTCTCATTTTATAAATTTTTTCTTTTTACTATACTAATTTCTTCAAGGTCCAAGGGCAACTACTATTTAATTTTTGTTAAAACCTTATCTCAAGCCTATAACTGTTAAAAAATAACCTTGCTGAACAAGAAATTACATAAAGAAATTACATGAACAAGTTTCTGAAAATATTAACTTTTCACAAATTATATAACAGTATAACATCTGACAAAAAATAATGCAAATAGTTTTTAAATGAACCAATAGATACACTTACCAGGGCAGTTATCATTTTCATCTTCAGTCAAAATGTTTAGAATTGACTGACATGTTTCATAACTTCCACACTCCAAAAAAAATTCTAACAATACAAACTCCTGCCAGCCAGGTTCTGGACCAGCCCATTCAGATAAATAAATACCCACAGTTTTTTTTCCTCGAGGGGGATAGTATACTATACCTTCCTCTGCATTAACCCAGTGAGTAGGTACTACTGTCTTAGTGTCAATACCACCTTCTTTAATTACAATGGTACTGTATAACCTACAATTTTAGATTATTATAAATTATATAGCAAATAAGTCATAACAAGTTACTATTTATTCTCTACAATATATCAATGCAAAATTGTAACTCTTTTATGTTTTGAAATGTTTTGAGGATAAATTTTCCGTGTTTATAAAAATAAATGATTCTAGAAATAAGCTTTGTAGTTAAAAAATGGATAAACCTCCAATATATATATATATATATATATATATATATATATATATATATATATATATATATATATATATATATATATATATATATATATATATATATATATATATATATATATATATATATATATATATATATATATATATATATATATATATATATATATATATATATATATATATATATATATAACATTTATAATTAAACCTATTATTAGTTTATTAAGTTTCATTAGTGGTGTAGTGGTAAAACTACATAAGCCCAAAGTAGTACTACATTCAATTCGTTTTTTGGTGCAGAGGCCTTGTTTGTCAAGGTTTGTGTTTAGGAGTTATTGAGAGAGGGTTTTAACCACAACTAAAAGTTGCCTCCTTAACTGTAGCAGCCTTTATAGCCTTGGAAAGGTAAAAAGCACAAACAAAAAAAACTCATTTTATATAAATTACTTATTTTTAAACAGGTTTTAAATTAGGTAATTGCTGGTTATTTGTTTAATAACATCTGTTTTTTTTTTTTTTCAATATCTTTGCTTCCAACAAGGCTGCAATCAACCACTAATAGAGTTTGAAGTTACTGGAATTAGATGAAGTTTATAAAGAAAGATAACGATTGACATATGACTTTAAAGATTGGAAATTATATGAATCAAAATAGAAACTAAAGCAGGTGAATTCCAAAGAATGATGTTCAAAGAAAAAAACTAGATGAATAAGAGTTTTTAGAACACTTCGGAACAGTCACGGGAAAAGGATAAGACTTAATCAAATGAGGAGTAACATAAGTATTTGTAGAATTGAGCAAAAGAAGCAATATTACTTGTGATAATGGTTGGAGGCTTGCAAGACCATGTCCAACTATGATTACATTGTGTTTTTGTACCTTGTCTGAAAAAAAGAGTATCATTTTAAGATCCACCCCTCCTTTCCCCCAGATATGACAACAGTATTCCATATAAGGACAGACTTTTATTTAACAAAAGACTTTTTATTAAAAAAAAACACTTTAAATCAAAATATTGCTGCATAAAAGAAGAAAAAAAAACAGCAAAAGTGCAATGGCAATCCAATACTTTGGTAAAAGAAGAAAAAAAAACAGCAAAAGTGCAATGGCAATCCAATACTTTGGTCTTAGACTCTTACCATTACCCCAAGCCCATGATAAACATTCTCACTTTTGGAGATTTTAAATAATTATTAAATCAAAATTATGCAACAAATTAAGGTAAAGTAAATCAAGCACTAACTTTAAAAAAAACTATAAATCTATAGCAAAGTATGGTTTTTATCTTATGCTAAGTTTTGTGACTCCAATAAAAATAATTTTTTTAAATTACTTTTTGCAGTAGACACCAACCACTTTTAATAAAAAAATAAAACTGTTTTCAGATTAAAGTTTATTTTTATTATTTTAGAAAAAGTGTCAAACTTTTTAGTTTAACTCAGTATTTTTTTTATAATTTTTGACTTGCTTTTCAAGTACGAATTTCAAAAAGGTTGCTACAACCCTCAGAAAAAAATCTTTATTTCATCTTTTTATTATATAAATAAGTATAAAATCTGTGATTTAAGAATTTCTACGAATAATTATTTTTTGTTCAAGCTTCTCTTAAAATTTTCAACAAGGTTATCTGAAACAAAAATGTAATAAAAAAAAACTATTATATTTTCAAAGTTATGTTAGCTGAATTATTTTTAGGTTTAGTTACACAAAATAGCAATGACATAATAATAATTATAAAAAACTGTTTTAGTGAAAAATACCAATATATAAAAATAAAAAAAAAAAAAAACTGTTTTTTGGTGTGACCAAAGTACAAAGTTATTCTTACCTTAATGGCGATGAATTCAATTTTATTACCTAAACTTTTGGCTAATGATTAATAAAGTAAATTTCAATTCATGAAAACTTAATAAATTAAAACCATATTTCAACAGTAGTCAACTAAACATAAAAAATGAAGTAGAGCAGAACATTGTCGTTGAACTAAAACAAATAGACAAAAAAAAATTTATTAAATAAAGGAATACTTTTCAATTTGCACATAACAAATAATTTTTTAAATGAAAATATAAAAAAATCAATACTAGTTTTTGTAGAACATATGAAATAGCAAACATAGAACTTAAAAACATACATACTTAACAGAAAATTGATATGCGTTAGTTTGGAAAAATAATAAATACCAATATAACATCACAATATCTTTAAATCAGGCTAAAATAATATTGATGTATTGGACTAATAACTTTACTAATTAAAGTAAACATAATACTTTTATTCTATAGTTTATGTTAGTAAAACAAAAGTCCAACAAGTTAAATATCAAAAGCTTAAGAAATTTCTAATTACAGTAAAATATAAAAATAATTTATATCATTCAATACCAGTTTCAAACATTTTGTATTGCATGATTTACTTAGGGGAAAGTGATGATTAAGACATAATACTTGTAATCATTTTTACATGATTTTATAACTTATTGATATATAGTTGCATAATTCCTATTACTATCACTTCATGCCATTATCACAACGTCTTACTTTAAACGATTTACTAAGGGGAAGTAATAATTTTGAAACTTAAAGATATAACTAAAAGTTTATAGTTTCACTATTTATTACATCATTCAATACCATTACCACACTATCTTTAATTAAATGATTAGCTAGAAAAAAAGAGATAATTCAGAGGCAAGTTTAGTAATTTACACGGGGGGAGGGTAAAATTCAGACAGATATTTGTAAATTAATTATATAACTAATTTATTCAGTTTAAACAGAAATTATACAACTATCAACTAATTATTTTATAGTTGTAAAATTTCAATCATTATACTGTAATAAAGATCAGACTGTCTTACATTGAGCGATTTATAAAGGAGAAGTATTAATTCAGAGAGATATAATTTATATCTGTCTGAACTTTACTTTTATATATAATATCATATTATTGTATGTATTATATATATGTCATTGACATATACTGCTATATAATAAAAGTATTTGTAAAATAATTTCATGCAAATAAATAACTAATTAGTATATAGTTGTTTATTTTCTATCATTGCGACACTTTCTTATATCATCTTTTTTATATTACTTTTGTGTAAACTTTATTTTTAAAATTCTTGTCGTCTAAACGTTTTTTTCTCTTTGTTTATGTTTACTAAGATAGTACGGACGTTTTAGGTACACTTCTAATAGTTATAACCCGAAAGCACAATCTCGTTTTGAGTTTTTCATAGGGGGATGGAATAATTCAGGCGGTGGGAACTATCTACTACAGATGGCTTTTTCAAACCTTCACAAAGTGTAATTAAAGTTAGCAAAGCAACAGAACAAAACATTGTTATCAAGTGATATCAATTTTAATAAAGTATTGCATAGTTGATGATATTTCAGTTGTGGAACAATATAAACATGTCCTCAGAGTTTCAAAAATTAGAAAACCATTTACAAAAGTGTTTGATACAATGTTTTTATCATGTTTTATACTTGTAAAGTTACTTTCCAGCTACTATTGCTAAATAAGGTTGTATTAAGTTGTTAAAATAAACACCCAAAAGTAACCAGATTAAATATCAGTTTGTCTTTCAGAAAAGTTTTATTTAGAATATCATTAATTCAATAAATTTAACAAGGTCATAGAAAGCAATACAAATTTTATTATTTCTTTATAGCGATATTTCTCTTTATCGTTAATGTTTTGCGTGTTTTTGATTCCCTTTTATAATTTTTACACTTTCAAACATTTTAAATATAATAATATCATTGAAATATGTGACTTGGTCGAGTAGATATAAACGAAGTAAAAAGGTAATTCTTCAAGCGCAATCACTGTATTTTCGGTATTCTGGGGCTTTCCAAAAAATGGCGGCCGTACAAAAAATTGGCTTCACTTTTGATAATAGAGATGCGCTATCCAGTTATTATAGAGATCAGTGGGTTTATTATATAAACAATTAATTTCGGCTGAATAAACCTATTTCTTTTTAGTAAAAAAGAGAAAAAGAAAAGATAACAAAATTATTATGACTTCAAAGAAAAAATTTTCAAAAAATATTGACAAGTTACATATTAATACACCAATTTTAATAAACACAATTATAAGGATTATTTTATTAGAGCATTTCTATGTCTTTGAATAATATTCTTATTTCCAAGATAATACTATTTTTTTTTTCAGATTGAGTTCTTTATTTACTTTATCAATCAAAAAGATTTTCTTTGTTGATACTGTTCAATTATTATTTTTTTATTCTTTGGTAAGCATTTATAAAAAGAATCGAGTCACATATATACATTATATATAAGTATATACACTGTATATATGTATGTCTGTGTGTAAACACACACATGTAGTTTCAGTATATAATATATATATATATATTTATATATATATATATATATATATATATATATATATATATATATATATATATATATATATATATATATATATATATATATATATATATATATATATATATATATATATATATATATATATATATATATATATATATATATATATATATATATATAAGGTACTTGATGATAAGACTTCATAGTCTTCTGCGAGTCTCCTTTACAACAACATGTTTATATTTGAAGAAACAATAGTTTTTATTTAAAAAAAAAAAAACAGTGTTTATTAATCTAACGTTATATTTTATTATAATTGTTAAATTACGTATTCTTATGTTATGTTATATATTTTACTCTTTGCATTAAATTATATGATAGAATTGTAACGTAATGAAGTGTATATTGAAGTTGTAAAAAAAAAAAAAAAAAAAAAAAAAAAAAAAAAAATATATATATATATATATATATATATATATATATATATATATATATATATATATATATATATATATATATATATATGATATATATATATATATATATATATATATATATATATATATATATATATATATATATATATATATATATATATATATATATATATATATATATGTATATATATATATATATTATATTTAGATAATATATATATATATATATATATATATATATATATATATATATATATATATATATATATATATATTGTTATTATAATATAATTATAGTGATAATATAAATACTTTCTCGCCTGTAATGAACCAGAAGCATGAAACCGACAAAGAATTGAGAGTTGTACTGGTGAAATGTATTTATATAGTGTAAAATAATAATTTATTTGTAATTCACTCAAAAATTGATTAAATTGACTAAAATTCTATGAAACTTTTTACCGCGTATTACACAAAATGATAATGGTGGTTTGTTTTTTTATTTCAAGTTTGGTTTTAAGACTGGTCGGTACTTAATAAAAAAAAACGACTTGAAATAAGGTTTGAAGTACGAATTCATTTCAATTTTGTTTCTTGCATATATGCAAGAAACGAATTCATTTCAAGTTTGTTTCTTGCATATATGCAAGAAACAAACTTGAAATGAGTTCGTACTTGAAATGAATTCGTACTAAAGCGTTATAACACTTTAGTCAGACTTCAGATTTGAAGCAGGGGCGGATACAGGATGTTTTGAAGTTTGAAATAACTAACTTCCAGACATGGAGCGAACTCGAAACTTTTATATGTTTATATTTATATCAAATATGGATACTTTGCAAAAAATTGGAGCCTAGGAACAAAAAAAACCCAAAATTTTTGCTACACCTGCCCCAAACGTGAGAGCAACAAGTTGATAAAACAAGTTTTTTACTTTTCTCAACTAAATCTATATTCATCGAGAAATTTTTAATTTTGTAAAACAATCTTTTAGCGTTCAATAATAATGGTCTTATAAAATTTGTAACCCCCTCAAATTGAGGGGGATTCAAACTTTATGTGGCTATAACTTTTGAACGTTAAGAGATTATTGTATGGATTTTAAAATTTCTCGATGAATATAGATTTAGTTAAGAATAGTAAAAAATTATTTTATCAACTTGTTGCTCTCACGTTTGGGGCAGGTGTAGCAAAAATTTTGGGGCTTTTTTGTTCCCAGGCTCCTATCATCTCAATTTTATGCAAAGTATCCTTATTTAATATAACTATAAACATATAAAAGTTTTGAGTTCGCTCCATGTCTGGAAGTTAGTTATCTCAAACTTCAAAAAATCCTGCATCCGCCCCTGTGAAGTATAACTTGAAATTTCAAGTTTGCTTCTTGCATTCGGAAAAGATTTTTACTTTTTCAAGTTGGGTTTTCAAGTCTAACTTGAAAACGGCCGGTTTTTCGACTCGACTCGAGTTTTCAAGTTAGACTTCGAGTTCAAGTTCGCTCTTTGCATTTGCTCAAGTCAAATTTTATACTTCAAGTATGACTTCAAATTTCAAGATAGCTTCTTGCATTCCACCCTTAGTTTTTCAATATTTTCATTATTTACAACACTACACTCGATACGATGACTAAGAAAAACTACTTCAATTGACATACAGTTTTTAGAGGCCATAATGGTACTTGCATTTAATAGACCAATACCAACTCTTTAAGGCTGTTTTGTGACAAGGCTATTAGGCTTCTTAGAGCACTTTCAAACAAAAAATGCGCAACTTTTTTTTTTAAATAACTAATAGGACCGGGTCTGGACTCAGAACCGTTTATTTAATCGGATCTGGGTCTGAGTCCACTAATACCCGACCTAGACCTGACCCATTACCAGCCCAAATTGCATCCTGTTTTTTTGCAGATTTATTATTTTTTATTTCAGAATGTTTGTGTCAAGTTAACAGAGACTTAAAAATGTATAAAAACTAGTATGTAGTACCTAAGGCTACAATATATATATATATATATACATTTTTTTTTTCTTTGTGTTTTTTTAGTATTTAAATGGCGAAACTTTTAAATGAACTCCAGAAAGAGCTATTGGACTAGATCCTTCTTTAAGAAAAAATTTTGTTTTATTTTTAAAGTACAAGTTAATACGACCACACTCTTTTTCACCAACATTAAGAGCAACAATTGGACATGTATAATATTTTTCATAGTTGTCATCTGTGGTTATTTCAACAAGATTACGCTCATTTTCTCTTGCTTTAAAACCCAGACAAGCAGTGCTCAATTGAAGTTTGTGGTCAACATGTGTGTGTGTGTGTATATATGTATACATATATATGTATATATAAAGTGGGGGGGGGGGGGGAATATAGCCCCGGGCCCCGATAATTTAGGGGCCCCCAAAAAATACTTTTTTTTTTTTATAAGTCTTTTTTAGACTCTGGCCCATAAAAAGTTTGCACCTGCAAATTAATTTATGCCGAGTTTTAAACTAAACAAATAAGGCTAGGTTTCACTCTAAACTTAATTGAAAAAATAATTAAAAAGAATGATATATAAATAAAATTAAAAATATTAATATACACATGAAAAAACTATTTATCAGGAATGCAGGTTAAATCTATGTATCAGCAATGCAAACAAGTCAGAGTCCAAATTTTCTACATTATTCTCTGAGCTTTAGAAGTCTATAAAGATTTTATAGCATCGGGACATGTGTGTTTTTTTGTAATTTATTTATAAAGGTGCTTCAAGAAGACAAATGCTTACTACAATACTAAATGCGGCAGAAAAGCATTTAAGCAAAAAGTTATACTTATATCCTCATGTCTTCCTTTACCAGTGTCGTTTTGTAGTTTGTTTGGCCAAATCTGGCAAATAAACAACAAAATTGGTTTGAAATTCTCTATTAACCTGATATTTTTTAAATTATATAAAGCCTATCATTAGAATAAAACAAATTTGAATGAATTTTTTAAAGTAAGTTTTGAAACACTAACTAGCAAAAAAAATGGAAAATTAACCTGTAGTACTAAATAAAATAATAGGTTTGAATACTAGATAAACAAAACATTAGGTATTAATAAAGGAAGTTATTTCTGCTGATAAAATTTTTCTCGTGTATAATTTAAATCTAAGAAATGTAAAACATCGCTAGATGTTTACCTGTTTAGATAATAAGATTACGTAGATGTTTACTTATTAATATACTTGTTAAGATGATAA